AATAAATAAATAACCAATAAAATACAAATCATCGTGTGTCTAAACTTTTAACATGAAGGTATGCATATTAATTACACCACCATATGTTCAAAAAAATAATATAATCAATCATAAAAAGATAAATGAAATCTATTTTTACAACATACCACGACTATGATTTCATATGTTTAGAAAATTTCCCATTGTTCGACACCACCGCTAAAAGCTTCCACATAGAAACTAATCATCTAGAAAATGATCACAAATGAATGATGATTCATTGAGGCAAGAATAACGAAGAAAAATCATAAGGGTTGTTCTACCCCTAGCATCAGAGGGCGTGTTCAAGCCCTAGAATCACAGGCGAAATTATGGCTAAAATCTGTATGCATTATTGCGAGAAAACTAACCAGGTGAAAAGGTTGAAGATGGGGAGGTGGTTTTCGGAATAGAGGAAGACACCGATGAAGGATGGTCGAATAAGAGCTTTTTTGCAATTTTTTTTTGTTTTTTTGTTTTTGTTTGTTTTTTTTAAGAAATGGAACTATCTTTATAATTTATCAAATAAACAAGACAACACAAAAACATGTAAAATATAAAATAAAAAGCCTTTATTTTGTTTAACTCATAATTAATAGACAAAATTTCATAAAATATACATATCTAATTCGTTTGAGGTTGATTATCATGATGTTTTTTTTCGAACGCTTAGTTTAAAGTTTGTATATGATTTTAGACTATAATTTTGTCATTTTCAGTTTAATATTCAATGACTTGTAGTACCCTGATATCGGGATATCAAAGCTTACAGTTTTCAAAGTTCAACACATTAAGTAATTACCAAAAAATTTCGGTTTTCCTGGTTCTAGATCCACTTTACCCGATACCTTATATGGAACCGAACCAAAACCGGTTCATATATACCCGGTCCAATTTTTGATCCTACAAAATCACGTTAACCGGTTTTCAGATTTCCGGGTCCAAGTCTATCCGAGCCATAAGAGGTGTACGTAAAAATAAAAGCATGAAGATGTAAAAAGAAAAAAGAAAAATTACGTCAAAACGTAGACAAAGTCGAATTTATACCGAAATATACATAAAAAAACCAAGTTTGTTTGTTTTTTTCTTTTTAATTAACAAATGAAATTACTAAATTTACGACGAAATGTTAATCACTTTGAATTTATGTTTGACATATACATAAAAATAAACACGTAATTTTTTTTAAGTTAACGAATTTTACAAAGTTCAAAACCAATTGTCTTAAAACGACATTATAGGGTTGAGGATAATAATTGTAGGAAAAACATATTATATATTTTACTGGGGTTAACTCAAAAGTTTAAAAAATAAAAAGATAAAAATGACATTTTCTAAAGTTAAAAACTAAAGAGATAAAAATGACATTCTACATAGTGTAAAGATGAAAGTGATGTTTTAAAAAATTTAAAACTAAAGGATTGAAAATAACATTATACAAAGTAAAAGGTTGCAAAAAATCTTATTTCAAAAACTTGAGGGCGGCAAGTGCCGTGGACAACTCTGCCGACAATTCCATTTAGTATATAGTAAATATGGATGTAAAGCTATGCCTCAAATCACGCATGGAAGTCTCTGTGGCAGCCTAAGGGATGCGTGAACACGGCCCTAAAATCTGGTGGTTTGGCTGTGGTGTCTAGGAAGACATCCAGAAATAAGCAGCAACATCGGTCACTCTCTTTCTTTATTTTTTTTTTTGCCTCTTCACCACCAACTACCGGTGAACACCATAAATAAATAAAAAAAAGGAAAAAAGTTTGATTATAAATGGTAAAAACTCTACGTGAACCTTCTTTTCACACATAAACCACTGTGGATACCCATTACCCAGAGCCTAAGTAATTGGGCCCAAATTATTTTTAAACTTTTCCATTTCTTCTTGGGTTGGGTTAGGTCATCGTGAAGAGTGAAGACCAATCATAAGCTTAAATACAGAGAAATCTCTCCTTGAAAACAGATTGGACTAGTTACTAGTATGTTTTTTTTTTATTTGATTCCACAATGAAGAAGAAGAAAATCAAAGATTCATCCCGATTATCCAATAAAAGTGATTTGGAATCTTCGGATTTCAACACGGCAGTCATGAGAATCGCCGTCGCACAGATGTGTCAGTCCGTCGGATATCAAGGCGCTCAAATCTCAGCACTCAAAACCGTAACGGACGTTGCCGTCAGGTACATTCGATCACTGGCGAAGTACTCTACTACCTCCGCTGGATCCACCGGCCGGACGCAGTGCAACCTTTTCGACATCGTCCGTGCATTGGAAGATCTTCATTCCGACATTGGATTCCATGGAAACTCAGATCCTAAAAGAAGATTATATATACTCAGCGATTCATCGATTCTCCGTGACACGATGAAGTTTTGTCTATCGGAGTCGCGAAACCCCGTTTGCAAAACCCTTGCCTCGTCGAAGCCCTACACTTCCATCAAATTCACCATGTTTTCCCAATCAGAATACCAAATGGAATCACGTTCCGAGATGGTTACCGGATTTCCCTAAAATCAGTGACGCGGGAGAACAACCGATCGTTACTGCATCAAATGAAGGTGAAACCACATGGGAGAAGAAGATGCAATCTACCGAATCAGATAAGGAAATCAGCAAGTTGCCAGAGAAAAGGAAAAAGATAAGTTTTAAGATTGGCGGTGGTAAGAATGAAACTGACATGACGTTTGGGGTTGATTTGAAGAGTGGGATTTGTAATTGGGGGAGGAGAATTTCGTGCCAAATCTATGATGTTGACAGGTTTTCAGATGCTAGTAGCAGTAGCAAGAAGAAATTAGAAGAATCTTCTTCAAGAACAAAGATGATTGTGATGCATTGATGTTGAAGCACAATTTCTGAGATCATGTAAAAGGGATTCTTATATAGTTACTGGGGATAAATTTGATTGGTTAACAAGTTTTGATCTGTGCCGCTTTTGTTTGTAAGTTTTAAATATACTGAACATGGGATGCAAAGTACAGCTCCGCTATCTCTATCTTCGAGTTTGATTATTTGAGCCTAATCTGTTTCATGTTGTTGATTTTGCAATCAAACAGGAGGTTGAAATAATCCACTGTACTTCTTACTGTAATTGTAATGGGACACATGCTCTTGCAACTGGTGATGTCTCAAAACTTTAATCCCTTCTCCCATATCTCCATTTGCAATGTTGTTTGAAGATTTCGGTTATTTGATTTTTCCAAAATTCAACTGGGGTTTCCTCGAATGGCCATTTTCATTATGCATTTGGTATTATTGGAAAAGATTATGAGTTATTTTTTTCATTGTTCATTATTCAAATCGTTTGGTTTTGGTTTTAGGGGCTATTAGGTTAAACTCGAATCTATCTTCTTGATCATTACACATCTCGTGCAAAGTGGATTACTCCATTTGATTCCAAATCTATGAACTCTGTTGAAAGATTTGGGCACACAGGCCCTGTATATGGGAATTTGCACATGGAATATAATATATTTGACCCAATTTGCATCTCTATCTTTACTTTTATGTAACCTATGTCCATTACATTCAATCGATGAGACAAAACGGACACCATTTTCTCATTCCGATGTAATAAACCATTCCATTTTTTTCCCAATTCGATCATACCAAACACTTTTTTGGCAGGAATCTTGGAGCTACCCATTGAAGCATCTGGAATTTTTATCTGGTGCTTAACTCAAAATCCTGATTCTTATAAACGGTGGGTGGGTTTTGTATATATATTGTTTTTCACTATTATTTCACACAACAAAAAGATTTTTAAAATTTATTTATTCATCCAAATATATATATATATATATATATATATATATATATATATATATTTGCAGGAGAAGGTTTACTTTATGAGGATAATTTAGAAGCAAGTGTTGTTATTCTAAAAAGGATTGCTGAGAAGTGGAAGGAGAAGGACCTATCTGTAAAACAGTTTTCTCTTCACACTATTAAGTGAAACTATCAGAAGTTTCAAGAACATGGTATTACATACATCTCCTCCCATTTATCATTTCTTACTACTTTGGTCCCTCCATCTCAAAAATATTTTAAATTCGGCCAATCTGTCTTAACTCTTAAATATTTTTTTAACTATGGTCAAATTAAGCCACTCGCATGTTTTTTTGTCACACTGAAACCATTTGACCTATTTCCGGCTGAAGAGTCCATAAGTTCGTCAAAAGACTATTTTACCCTATAAATTTGAATTTTACGTATATGACGTGTCAAAAACGATCATTTTACTCTTGAGTTTTGGTTGGATAAATTATTGTTGTTTGTGTGTATTTGTCTGTTTAACTCGTGTCCCCACAATGACTAGTTTACCCTGATGTGAAATGGTCAAAATGATGATTTTATATTTACCTTGGAATGTTGATTGGAAAAATAGTATTGTTAAAGTATGTTGCTGCAGAAAGTTACAGAAAATGCATTATATTTTGGGGCATTGTTCATTATTTTGTTGCAGATAAAATCTCAAGTTGGGATAATTATTTTGGTAAGCAGAGGGGTTCTTGACACTTGACAGTATGATCTTTGATGATTCTGTGTATTTTGATTTGATTGGATGATCATGGATGGGTGCTCTTTAAAAGGTTTTAGGATCCATTTTGTTTCTTAGTTAGTATCTTGTGGGATATAATACAAATGCGTGTTAAGAATCTTGAGGGTTTTCTTCTTTATTGATTCTTGAAGAATACAAGATTGTTGATGTTTGAATTTAACTGGGTAATGAAGATTGCCTTTCAGATTCTTCATTTTTGTTAGTTTTTCATATCATTTTATATTCATTATGAATTGGGTAAATTTGCGAATCTTTAAAAAATTATTAAAGAATTTCTTAAATATATTAGGCGTTAGGATGTAATGTTGTGTTATTATTTCCTTTAATTATTCATGCATTGTATTGCTATAAAATCAAGAGAACCACATCACTTTATTATTTTGATAAAATTGAATTGTCAAATTTGGCAATTTGGATGGAACCGTATGATTCAAATATTATAATATTTGGACTGGATTTGAGAGAACCAAACAGTCCAAACAAACTGAATAATAATTTATATTTATGTGGTTATCAATGGTTGCACAACCGTGGTTATTATTAATACTATTGACCACGGTGAGTCTAACCGTCGTTCTCAAAATCTCAGCCGTCTAAACTCCACGTTTTTTTAATCTCGTCCGCATAAACTCGATTTTGGCGGTTTCTTGCAGTTTCGCTTCCTGGTTCTTCTCCCCCACGATTCCGTCTCTACCCACGTTGTACACAATTGACTGTTGTTTCCTGAAGAAGCAGTTGATTTGGAAATTGCATTCAAGTGTAGCGCGCATCGGACTTTTGCCGTTAACCGCAAATTGGTTTTAATCAAGAACTGCACCACACGATTCCATGATTGCTAGAAATCAGGTGGTTTTCATTAACTGTCTTGCCTATATAAAGAGTTGAATTTCAATGTAATTGCTTCAATGATAGTTGTCGATTGACAATTGTCGGAATAAATAGTTGCTTCTGTTGATCCAATGGCTTCCGATTCGTCTGACATACCTTCACTTAAGGTAAAAAATCATTTGTTTAATCGATTTCGATTCTTTGTATCTCATTGCATTTGTTTGTTTCAATTGGTAAAACTAATTGATTCGTTTGATTTAATGTTTTTGCCAATTCGTATATTCTTTCTTCTCGTAATGTTAGCTTATTATCTCCATTCCTTTGATATTTAGTCCATTGTATAATCAAGTTCGATATATAATCGAAGGTAATGTCCATTAATGTTTCAAGTTTCGATTTCATATGTATTAACAATTGTGTTACATTTACTTTTTATGTAGAACGTTGAAGTTGTTGCTGGAAAAGTGAATCCACCGAAAGATGTATCAAAATCGACAGTTGATCCTAATGATTCCAATTCGTCTGACATACCTTCACCTGAGGTAAACATTCAATTGTTTAATTGATTTCTGTTGTTTGTATTTCATTGGATTTGTTTGTTTAAATTGGTAAAAGTAATTGATTCCATACATTTATGTTTTGCAATTCGTTGGTTGTTTTTTTCAGATAAGGTAAGCTTTTTTCGTCTTAGTAATCGTATTCTTTGATTGTTACTTGATTGTATTTTCAAGGTCGATGTATATTTGAAGTTAAGGTTCAACTATGTTTCATATTTCGATTGCTTATGTATTAACAATTGTGTTATGTTTAATTATTATGTAGAACTTTGAAGATGTTTGTGGAAAAGTCGATCCACTATCAGATGTATCACAATCGACATTTGATCCTAATGATTCCAGTTCGTCTGACATCTGTTCACCTAAGGTAAAAATTAACTTCTTCAATCGATTTCTATGGTTTGTACTTTAATGTTTGCAATTTGCCTATTATTTCTTCACACAAGGTGAACTTATTGTGTATGTAATAGATTGATTTGATTTGTAATTCATTGTGTATTCAATTTCGTTGAAGTTAAATTTCGTTTATTTCTCAAATTTGGATTTGATATATATTAGCAATTGTGTTTTTTGTAATTGTTTTGTAGAAATTTGGAGATTTTGATGGAAAAGTCAATCCACATTCAGATGTATCAAAATCGACATGTCTCTCTGATTCTGTTAGTGTTGAAATAATCGACTTTAATGTTTCACTTCAGTCCCTACAAATCCCAGTTGGAGAGGGTCATTTCGGAAGAGGTAAAGATTTTATTAGTTTTGTTGTCAGATAGATATGCATGTTAGTTTGTTTTTCTCTTTCAGATTTCTTTAATTGCCAAAGAAGAGGAGAAGCTGTCAAAAAAAGAAAAAAGGAAGTTGGCGTGTATGTTGGAAGTGGGAAGAAGTTGTAGATCTATGTGAAGATGAAGACTTGGGTGTAGATCTACCATTGATACCAGTGAAAAAGAAAGTGAAAGTTTCCATTCAATCTCGAAATCGAGTCATGAAACTTTTTGATGAATCAGATGTTGATGAGTGATTTAGAATTAACTTTGTGATTTTTTTTTGTTTTTTGTATTGTTCTTTTGGATTTGCTGCAGTTAGTGGTTATTTGTTTTTTTGAATTAATGTTTATAAGTTTTTCAATTGTAGTTAATTGTTTTTAATGTTATTTCACTTTTATTGCTATCAATTAAGGTAACCCACTTTCATTATCAACTATCTTCATCATCTTTTATTTCGTTTAATACTGTTTATCCCTCGTGCATCATTTATGGTTTTGGACCATTTTACCCTTTCTACCCCCAATTTTGTATTGTATTTGTGATGGATAGTGTTGGTTTGCAAACAATAAAGAAAGTCAATTATGCAAATAATAGATTTTCATTGCTAATAGAGTTTATGTTAATGAAAATTCATATGAAAAATAATAAATGAAATCAAGTTCAAAACAGAAAAAGTCAAACCTATTATCAGGTTGCAGTTCAGTTTTGATCGAAGGGCTGATCTTTGGAGGTGTATATGTGTTGATTAATATATGAAGTGTGCTGTCATTGAATAATTCGAGTCCTTGGAACTTGTGCTGAATGGTTTAGTTGTTGGACATACTGTTAACATGTTAATCTTCTGAATTTCCACATATACCCCTGAATAAGCTTTTTACCTCAAAATAGTTAAACACACTGAAAATGAAACCTTTTACCAATTATAAAGACGTTAAAGTTTATATAAATTATTCTGTCTATACTATGGAAGTTGAAATATTTTTTAATTTGGGTTATCCATCAAAAAACTATTATGTTATTGTCTATTTAAGCAATGTACTTTGCATGATAGCATCATACTTTATATTATATATATATATATATATATAATATATATATATATATGTGTGTGTGTGTGTGTGTGTGTGTGTTTTGTTATTGTAACAGATTGGTAATTGGTTTTAATGATATTGGACCATTTTACCCCTTCTGCATTGTTAATGATTTTTAACCGTTTTACCCCTGCTTGCATTCTATGTGTTTTATGTTACAGGTTGTCTTGAGTTTTTGTTGTAAAAACACAAATAATAAAAAAAAAAAGTAATTATGTTATATTTTCGTAATTAAGCATTATACTGTAAATTATAGCATCATACTTACATTTTAATTCTTATTTACAATAAAAGAGTATGTTTTTTGTTATTGTAACATATTCGTTATTCGTTTTAATGATTTTGGACGATTTTACCCCTCCTGCATCTTTTCTGATTTTGGACCATTTTACCCCTCCCCTATTTGTATTGAAATGATTATGGGTTGTCAAATAAAATATGAATAAGAAAAATAGCATAATTTTTTTAAAAAAATGATGTTATATTTGAAAGTACGTTGGTTAAATAGTTAAATCTTTTAACTTTATTTACAATACATTTGTTGGAGATGTACAATTGTTTTATATATCTACTTTTCAATATTTCATCATTAAGAAGCACCACAATTACATCTTTCAGTTTGTCATGTGATCTTGAGACCTCTGGTGCACCATCTATGGCTGCCTCTGATGCGTACGGTTCGTTTATTGTACTTTGTGGTGTACATGGGTCGATATGGGTAAGGTCGGGGGCATTTAAGACATTTGAAGAACCTTTTGTGTTCTTTAAAGCTTTTAGAGATCTGAAGAGTTCGTTATCTTTGATTTCATTGGTTGTCTCCATTTCTTAGTCTGTCTCACAACTATAAAAAGTTACATTATTTATTCAAAAATATTGGAAAATGAACAGGGTATTTTTCGAATGGAGGCACCTTTAATTTTTCTAACTTCTGTTTGGTTTTTTCAAGCTTTTAAGTTTTTGTCGCATGCTTAAATGTGAGAGACACACCCTCCTTAGATAATGGTTATATGCAAGAAATAACAATGTTCTTTCATTGATTTGTTTATCATAGCATCCCACTTTCATTCTTCCTATTAAATCTTTTTACTTTGAAAATCTACCAATCATAGCAATGTCATTCAAATACAAATGAATTTTCATTAACATAACTAAGTAGACTTTTCAAAGAATGATGTCATAATAATAAATAGTTAAAACTACAATCAACCTGATTCCTATAGCCAAGGTGATTTTTGCAGCCATGTTGATTCCACAATCAAGCTTCTATCAAATATTCTATACCTACTTTTGTTGTTACACTTTCCAACGCCATTTTCCACAATATATTAAAAAGAATTCCACTTTATAAAAAGATAAATTGATGTAGAAAATGATACAAAATTGAAAGTTGCAAACATGATAATAATCACCTGTACAGATGTGGTATGAATCGAAACCGGTTATAATCCGTACAATTAAAATACTTGTAATCTTTTTATACGATTATAACGGATTCCTAATTCGTTTTACTTATTTTTGACCGTTTTACCCCTGCTGCATTATTTTTTATTTTGGACCGTTTTGCCCTTAATTGCATTTTCACTTTTTTATGTTACATATCATTTTGATTTATTGCTGTAAAAAACACTAATAAGAAAAAAAAGCATAATTTTGTTTTTGAAAAAATGATGCGATATTTGAAAGTACACTGGTTAAATAGTTAAATCTTCTAACTTTATTTACAATACAGATGTGGTATGAATCGAAACCGGTTAGTATCCGTACAATTAAAATACTTGTAATCTTTTTGTACGATTATAACGGATTCCTAATCCGTTTTAATTATTTTGGACCGTTTTACCCCTGCTGCATCATTTTATATTTTGGCCCGTTTTGCCCTTAATTGCATTTTCACTGTTTTAGCTTACATGCCATTTTTATTTATTGTTGTAAAAAGCACTAATAAGAAAAAAAAGCATTTTTTTTTTGGAAAAATGATGCTATATTTGAAAGTATAATGCTTAAATAGTTAAATCTTCTACCTTTATTTACAAATACAGATGTGGTATGAATCGAAACCAGTTAGCATCCATACAATTAAAATACTTGTAATCCTTTTGTACGGTTAGAACGGATTCCTAATTTGTTTTAATTATTTTGGACCGTTTTAGCCCTGGTGCATATTTTTTATTTTGGACCGTTTTGCCCTTAATTGCATTTTTGGCTGTTTTAGGTTACATGTCATTATGATTTATTGTTGTAATAAATACTAATAATAAAAATAAAATCATTTAACCTATTTTATACCTACTAAATTCAGTTAAGTAGTTACAGAGGCTTAAAAATATAAGAGATTTTATGAGGGAAATTTAAATTATACGTTTCGCTTTTTTCTTTTGTTTTTTATCTATTATTTGTTTATTTAAATATTATTTATATGAATAAAAAAAATTGAGGGCAATAATGAAATTTGCACAGTTTACGTGATTGTAGTTTACGAAAACTTGGGATTAAAGTCGAGGGGTAGTGTCTGTAACCGTTTCTTCTTTAACCTGTTACATCAGATTTTGCTCTGCACGTTTATTCTATAATTTGCGATCACATGAATTATGTGCATTGTAGTACATCGAAACATTCCCTGTGTCCATAACTTCCTTCATTCTGCTTCAATTATTCGGGCAATCTGAAATTGGAATACATAAAAGGGTGATACAAGGTTTTAACTTCATATTAGCTATTACTTTGATTTTTTTAATGTTTATTTATATGTTTGTAAGTTATTTATGTGACAAAAAGTATGAGTTTTGTGAAATTGGATTAGTTAGGCCGTTTAACCATTGAAATATTGTATTCTGTTTTCGAAGTTTTTTGTTATGTTTGTTGATTTTGTTGTTTTGTTTGTAAAGATAACGTTTTACATAAAACAAAATCGGATTATTTTGATACATTTTGTTTGTTTTTGCGTAAAATTGTAGATGAATTTATGTTTTATTTTATTTTGATGTAAGTTGTTTGCTATACAGGGTTATCTTTTTCTTTCTGATATCTGTCAAGACAAACAAACTCCTTTTTGGTGTGTAATTATCTGAAACAATATAACAACTTTCTTTGATACAATCAAGAATGGATGATGCTGAAGGTTATGAAATCAATCGTCAAACAGAACTCCATACGAAGGTATCTTTTTCAATTATGTTTATGTCAATATGAAAATTGCATAAATTTTGAATCTTATTTTTGTTAATTTGTTGCGTGTTGTGCTCTTTGGTTCGATTTTTATCATATGTGAATGTGAATATTATGTGACATTACTTTCTTTTTGGTTATAGACTCATTTTACGTACATTACCGTTTAAGTCTGATGCTGTTACTGTTGGATTAATGTCTAAGTCCATAACTATAATTGGTAAGACTTGACCCGACCCGACATGGTCCATTTGGGTTGCATGGCATCATGCATTTGGATAGACTATAATGAGAGAAATAACACTTAAGGTTGGTTAATATATTATAAGTTCTAATATATTAATAAGGTTATTTAATTAGTATTGATCAAGAATTAATTTGGAATTAATTAAGTGATCAAAAGAAGACTAATTAAATATATGGGTTAATTGTGTAAATCATTCATTCTTATATATGTGGGCTTGTGATCCAAGATTCCTTATGTTGGACTAAGTCCATGGGGTGACCCATGGATACTCCATGGAGGTTAAAATCCATGGAGCATAAGGAATGGGTAAAGTTATGAGTTAGATGGTGTAACCCTAATAGCCACCATATAAAAGAATCCCATGGCTCAAGAAATCGTGCACTAATGTGTGAGTGTGAGGGCTAGACGATTTCAAGGAGTGTTCAAGTTTCTCTCAAGTTATTCCAAGTGTATTTGGTGTTGTGTGAACCATTTGAGGTGTTCACACTGGGGGCACTAGCACTCAAGCTCCATGAAGACATTCACATCAAAGAGGTATGTATTCTATCTTGTTATATTTATTTTTTGTATGCTAGATTAGGATATACCTTGGAGTTCATAATTGTATGTATAATAGAGAAAAC